TACACGCTGTGTGCTTGTCCTGTAGCTGTAGTCCGTGATGACAACTTAGTTCGACAGTACATTATTCATCCAAGTTTTCACCTACAGATTATAATAAACTTCTACTCTCAGTTAAAAGCCCTGGCAAATCAAGGCCAAGGACGGCAGAGCTTATCTAGTGGAGTACTAGTATATCCACTAGTTGGTGGCGACACGCATGACCCGATGCGACGCTGGGTGTGGATGACTGCTAGGTTGTGAGTTGTGACTGATCGACATCGATCATGATCCACTGTCATAAGCTTGCCTAGGACTGATCTTGGATAGATGAACTCCAACTTGAGATCATATTGAAGCTGTGCTGTGATTGTGAGATATATATGGGCCCAGTAGGCCTGCTGGGCTGTGCTCCACAAAACAGGCCAAGACAGAGATGTAGGTTGGGCTCCTGGCCGACTGACCTGATTAGACTAGCTCAATTAGCCGACACTGATGATGACATTTAGGGTTGGTTTGGTTTGTGGTCTAAATAGGCCTTACCAAATTTTGTCAGTGTTAAATTTTGGCACGTTTTGGCATGACTAATTTTGGTAAGGCAAAGTTGTGTTTGTATTGAAGCCAAAATAGCCTAAGTTCACTATTGAAATGGTCTATTTTCTTATGCATGTCAAAATTTGGCTTCAAACTAAATAGACACTAAACACTATTGAAATTGCTAAATATTGGTAAGCATAATTTAGACCTCAAACCAAACCAGCCCTTAGAGCCCTTCAATCCAGAGATGACGACGGAAGTACCAGCTAACTGAAAATTGTATATCTTGGAGATTAATTAGACAGACCCCAACCGATCGTTTTCAGGCTGCTTGATCGTATAACTGGCCTAAACACGATCGATTTCTTTTTTCGGATACGTAAGGAACATACTTTTTTCTATTAAAAGAAATAAAAGTTATTTACATGTAAAAGGAAAAACAGCATGAGACTGATACAGTCGATCATGCTGGGTGTGCTGTAGTTACGTACACGATTTGAGCAGTCAGTTAGTGAGACACCAGCGCTGAACTCGTTGCTAATTAAGCATTTTGGTATCTTAAGCTTCTATGTGTTTTTTTAAACAGAAGAGCAGAGCTCCTCCCCTTTCCATTAAGGAAAAGCACATGTTCAGTTCAGCATCTTAAGCTTCCATGTAGCAGTGGCATGCCGAATTTGGAATGGTTTTAGTGGCAACAGGCTAGCATGATAGGCAATTGTGCAAGGATTAGTTATAGCTGTGGAAGAGCTTAAACCTTTATAAACTCTCTCCCTGGCTTCTCTTCAACTATAAACACAATAGTAGTTTGAAAATCATTTGACAAGGTATCCAATTGCACGAGGCCATTTCAGGAAGGATTTAACTAACACTAGAGCCAGTTAAATCCAGACTATAACACGGTGCTTGTACTTTCTATTGACATATTTTTTTCAATCTTGTTTTATATATTGAGTTTGGATTTGATTTTTTTTTGGTTGTAGAGATGTCGTTTACTCTGTGTTGTCAATTTTTCTCAAAACTCTTTATGCCTATTTGTATTGTATTTGAGGATTAACTGTGTGTCTGTTCGTAAAAACCGGAAATGTAAATTATTTCCATTATTAAAAAGTATATATATTTGAGGGATAAAGGTGCACGATGGGATATCCTAGAGGGGTCAAAACCACTTCTAGGACCAACTGTGGCCTCCAACCAAATAATCTTCTATACCATAATAACAAAGAAATCCACAAAGTCAATAGTGAAATGGTAGAAAAAAGTCATGCATTAAATATGCAGAGACTTTTTCATTCCAACACTAGCTCATTCTAGTTAATAGATGGAGAATGACTCCTAACAACACTATAAATGTGGTCGTGTGCATCCCCTTGTTGTAGAGGCACCACAGGAGAAACGATCTTTAATACCGGTTATAAGAACCGAGACTAGTAAATCAAGACTAAAGATGTGGAATGCTAGGATTCGAACTCAAGATCTCTTAGCTCTCATACGCGTTAACATCCTATCTACTACACACATCTAACTTGGATGGAGATGCTTTCTTTTTGAATTAACACTGGAGACATATTTAATACGGGTTGGTGTTACCAACCGGTACTAAATATGCATCTTTAGTACCGGTTGGTAACATCAACCTGGACTAAAGATCCTCCAGCATTAGTCTCGGTTAGTGTTACCAACCGGTAGTAAATACACATTTTTAGTAAAAGATATTTTTAGAGACTTGAGCTTTTAGAATCGGTACTAAAACACTAAAACATCTTTAGTACTTATTTTTAATCTTGCTAGGATATTTGTGTTTTGGGTTTAGGATAAAAAATCGCTTCTCTCTTGGTGAGGCCGAGTTTTATTAAATCCATTATTACAAAAACAACACTAAATTAAAGTATACTATATCATATTGCAAATATGTCCACCTTTCATGGCTGTGCTGAGCCAACGAGGTAAGAGTGATTCAAGATGCATTTTACACAACATTCTTCAGAATGATTCAAGATGCATTTAACACAGCATTTTTCCGCGTTATTTCAAGCAGTACCATTACTGACAGTCTGACACTGCAAGTTGTGACATTGTGGCTGTGTTTAGATAAGTTTGGATTAAATTTCAGTACTTTTCCATTACATCAACCTGTCATACACATAACTTTTCAGTCACATCATCTTCAATTTCAACCAAAATCCAAACTTTGCGCTGAACTAAACACAGCCTGTATCTACTTGTATATCATGCATGCATCACGACTCATTCCATGGCAATAATTAATGGAGGACTGGATGTTTCTCGTGGTCTAGCTAGTGACACTATATAATTAATTAGTGTAACAATAATTAGGTTGGATTAACCATGATAGATGATATTTTATATATATTGTCTCCATCTATAAATATAACAGATTTCGAGTTCGAATTTATCCATAGATATAACGAATTCTAACATACCACTTTCATAATCCATCCAAAGCACAAGTTTACTCACGAAAATTGCATCATAGGTGTAATCTTTGGAGAATGCAATACGTACGCTAGGGATTGAGATCCTCTGACAGAACTTCCCTCTAACTTGGTAGATGATATGTAGGCCTAAGAGTGATGGGTCCACATGTTAGTCACAGTGAACAGTAACGTCAGAGGATCCCTCTCTGTACGCCAAATACCCGACGCTAACGAAATTATCGAGCGTCCACAGCCACTGGTTCCCCCTCTATCTCCCTACACGCCTACTCTCTCACTCTCTCTCACACACAAAACATGCTCCCTTCTCTAGTTCTCTCTATGCATATATACATGCATACTTCTTAACAAACTTCAAAACGACTTATTCAATATACAATCTAATTACGCTATTATATTCATTACAATTAAATTTTAAAACTATAGCTAATTATGTTGTTTTTAATTTAAAAATTCAAAAAAATAGCAAAATATCACATGATTATATTGGGATAAAATATATGTTTCAAGCGTTAAATTTGATGTTTCACCTTTCATGCGCGAGAAGAGAATGTTTCAACTAAAATTCGATCGTGTACGTTGCACATTTTAAGTTTTGTTTATCTATATATATTTTTGATATTTCAATTACTGGGACTCAGTTTCATTTCCTGGGTTGTCGGTGTTATAGTAAGTATTTTCAAAATATAGTATCTTTTTTTAAAAAAAATGGTCAAGTGAGTTGAAATATTTGATCGAGTGAGATTTTCTTTGCAGGTGATGAAAACAACTTCTAGTTTTTTTTTGGGTAGAAGTAAACCCCTGATTTCGCCGTGATCTTTTCTAATCGAGTAAACTTCTAGAGCATCAAAGTAATTCTACCTCAACCATAAACTTGGCTAAATAACATAGCATTGCTTGTATTCATGATTCGTACAGCAGCGAGTTAGCCATGTGAGACATGGACAGAGATGTACCGTACATGCGAGGATTCGAGGTCTCCAAGTTTATATGAACCCCCCTCGCGTGGTCATGGCTTTGCACGGTCAAGTAGTCGACGACGAGGAGAACACGAGGTCCACTACTGACGCAGTATTTTTAGATCGATTTGAGCGCTTTGATGAGTGAGCCGTGATGGACCGAAGTAATTAAGAAGGGGTCAAGTCGTCTTTGACAGGACGGCGACTTGGAGGTGGCCGGAGAGGGACGGGAAAGCAAGAGATGTCATGGCGGCGAGGAAAATGGAGGAGACGACGTCGATCTGCAAGTGTTGGGGGACTTGGGGCGTCAATGGTTTTTGGGCACCGGCGGCGGCTAGGGGCTTCGGAAATTCGGTTTCTTTCAAGGAAAACTGACATACTCACTCAGTTTCAAAATGTTTGACACCGTTAATTTTTTAGTATGTGTTTGATCATTCGTCTTATTCAAAAAATTTAAGTAATTATTTATTCTTTTCATATCATTTGATTTATTGTTAAATATACTTCCATGTACACATATAGTTTTACATATTTCACAAATTTTTTTTAATAAAACGAACGGTCAAACATGTGCTAAAAAGTCAATAGTGTCAAACATTTTGAAACGGATGGAGTATATGCAAACAACGAGAGAACGTTCCTCGACAATTTAGAATCCACTTTCTGTACTAGCCCATGGGCTTCTTTGCTATTAATGGGCCTGTAGTTTCTAAGGTCAAATCAAATTTATCGCTAGGAGTAAATTAATCTATCTAGTTTATCAACGTGTACTGTATAAAGTCATGGATCGAGATTGAAACAAAGGAAAAAGAAAACACCTACGCCATATACTTAGATGAGATTTACAAATGGAATTCAATAATTTTTTGATTCGTAATCTCAGTATGCTACCCGGGACTGAAGGAGTTGCATATCGGGGTTAAAGACGGTTTGTATAGCAGTGTGATCTTGTTATGATGTGGGAGTTTTTAGTAGTTTGTGTGTGCTTCTATTTCTTTAGACGTGTGTTTTGTTAAATTGGTGTAATAATTGGCTGTAGCTCTTTAATCAAAAGCCGGGATTATATTCCATTATCTAAAAAATCAGTTACGGACATCTATCACGTATGAATTATTGAATTGATCGAGATTAATTATTACAGTGACAGTCGTCGTGTTCATCGTCAACTAAGTACTGTAGTAAGAAGTCCATGAACCGAGCAAGATTGAATGTTTGCATGTACAAGTAGTAGTGCACCGTGCACGCACGTACGGTGCGAGTTAGCCGATCAATTCGGGAATCTGCAGTCGCGGCGTATCTCGCCGCCGGTGGCCGCCGTCTTGACGCCGACCCTCCCGAGCCTGGTCATGGCGGCGGCGAAGCCGCCGAAGAAGGCGCTCTGGCTCCACGCGTAGTAGTCGACGGTGCCGCGCGACCGCTGGTCGGCGTGCAGCGCCTGGTCGGAGCCGAGGAGCCCCCTGCCTTGCTGCAGGCCCCGGTAGTACGCGTTGTCGAACGCCGCCGGCGTCGCGCCGTTGAGGAACGCGAAGTTGTTGGGGTTGCCGCCGCAGGTGTTGCGCAGCTGCGCCGCGAAGCCCTGGTCCATGGCTGGGTCGGCGCCGATCCTGTACTGGAAGAACCTGCAGTCCGCCGCGCCGAACGTGTGCCCACCTGAATTCACGCGCAAGTGACGATGCGAATTCGCGACCGATCAGTCACACAGATTGGAGTAATCGCAAGCGACGTACGTGTGTGGAAAAGGTGTGCAGATTGATGAATTGTTGGGCAAGTGACAAGATCGATCGATCGATCGATCGGATCGTCAATGGATGTACAGCTATCGGGTGAAGTTTTTAGTCCACGATGACGACGATGAGTTGAGTTGATTAGACATTTTTGGAGTACCTGAGAGAGCGATCATGTCAGTCTGGGAGAGGCCGAGGCCGGCGAAGAAAGCGTTGAGCTGGTCCAGGTTGAAGTTGGCATGCGGCAGCACTACGCTGTCTCTGGTTGACACCCTGCCGTCGTATCTCCCCAGCTCCACCTGGTAGTTGGGCCCTCCGCTCTGCACCAACCAGCCAATGCATGCATCCATGCAGGATTAGTTACAGCGTTGAACGCGCGATCTCACGATCAATTTTTTTACCCATCATGCATGCATGCCCATGTGTGCAAATTTAATCTGCTATGCTAAAGTGAGTTTACCGTCCGGAGGTATAATATTTTTTAATGTAAAATTTGGTACTCCCTTAATACTCATAAAGAAAGTCGTTCCCTCCATACTCATAAAGAAAGTCGTTTAGGACAATATTTAAGTCAAACCCTAAAAATATAAATCATGAATAACTCTTAAGTTGTTGAGTTTCAAAATGTAAAAATTATACGTATAGATTTGTCTTGAAAAATACTTTCATAAAAGTATACATATATCACTTTTCAATAAATATTTTTATAGAAATAAAAAGTCAAAATTATGTTTTGGAGACCGTGTTGCTGTCCTAAACGACTTCCTTTATGAGTATGGAGGGAGTATCTCCCAATATCTTCAATATTATAAGATATATGAAAATTTGCAAATATATTCTACAGTTCTTAAAAGTACTAAAAGATAACAAAATTTTAGTGCAAATTTCCGTATATCTTAGTATTGTGAAATGATATATTACATATTAACCTATCATGTTAATTTTATAAAAAAATTTCCATAACTATTTAGATGACATGCAAGAAACGGGTGGACATCCACCCGAGTGCTTAAAACAGTTTCCCTAGTTTTTACTGCTTTTCCTCTTTTTTCAATGTATGAACTCTTATGCTTTTTAGTGAAAGCTGGGCGTAATGCCTTCATCTAAAAAAACAGTAGAAAATAGAAAACATGGTATCTCCTTAAAAACTATAAAATCACTTAAATTTAAACTGAAAATTTTGGTATCTCGAAGTGCTGTAAAATTTCTTGCTATGCTAACCTGGTAGACGGATTCTCTTGCGGCGAGCGCCAATATGTCGGCGCAGGACACCTTGTAGCGGCACTGTGGATCGCTGTCGACGGCGGCCTTGGCGTTGAGCACCGTCGTGAACCCCTCCGGCTTCAGCGACTGGTTGTCTGAGTTCCGCCACTCGTCGTCGCCGTTCGAGTTCACGATCATGATCGACGCGTCACAACCCTGCAATCGAAATCACACACTGCAGTGATCACTGCTTACTTCTACTGATCTGATATTCTGATCACCACATTGCTTGCATCGATCTATGGCGGTCGATCGATCATTATCTGTTGCAATCTCTAGATGTACCCTGACGGCGCAGTCGTGGAAGAAGAGCCTGAGCGTCGCCGGCGCGGAGATCGGTGACGCGGCCATGGACTGCTTGACGGAGCTCCGGACGATGGTCTCCAGGTTGGGGCAGATGGTGGAGTAGTAGTCCGTCCTCAGCTGGCCAACCACGGCGAGCGGCGACAGCAGCGCGGCCGACGTGACGGCGAGGAATGCCAACCCAGCAAGGCTCGCCGCCATTGATCGATCGATCGATCACTCTTCTTGCTTGCTTGCTCAGTGACGACTCTATCTGCTTCGTGCTAGCTAGCTAGCTGTTGCGTGAGTCTTCCAAAAGCTTGGCTGGCGATCAAGATAGGCAGCTAGCTAGATACAGTTTCTGTTTCGATTGATCAGGATGATGATCTGTGAAAGTGACGTGATGTTTGGCAATCGCATTTACATGGGTATATATAGTGTAGGGTGGCGTGAGGGTTGAGAATGTGCTGGGCTTCGATGGTCTTAAACTGTTTGGTTAATTTAAGCTGAAGCTGCACTTAGTACTACTGTATATACAGTAACCATGTGCTTTGTAATTAATTGGAGAGTCTGGTTAAAGTGATATGCAAGTAGCAGATTATGTCGGTGACTAATTCACAGCTCATTCTAACTTGCCAAAGCCGCATGGAGTACTGAAGCAATGCAAGCCACCGGCCGTTCTACAGATATGTACATTGTGGGCTTGTGGCACTCTTATTACGGGCCGTTTCTTCGTCAGAAATCAGCTTTACAGTTACGTAGAGCTACTGATCATAGGCGTGTGTGAACTTCGGCCAGAAGCCCAGAACAAATGCTCTTGCGGCTAATTCTACTTGCCATTGTGCTGATCATTGGCTTGTCTGCCACAGCTTAAAAATTAAATTTTACTCCCTCCATTTTTATTTAGATGACATTGGTTAGTTCAAAAGTTTCATTTTAAACTAACCAACGTTAAATAAAAAAACAAATGTAGTAGAATTTAGGGCTCCTTTGAAACGTGTGATTAAAAAAATAGAGAAAAACATAAAAAAATATTGTATTTTGATAAGAATACAAGTGCAAATAAGAATATTTGAAAACACATAAAAAACAATGGAATGGTTATTCAATTAGACCTCATGAAAATTGAAAGAATCGGATGAGAGAGATAGACTACTCAAAGGGAATTTTTTCCAAAGGTTATATGTTTTGCTAACTTTTCAACAAAATGTCTATACGATCATCAATTTCATAAGAACTTAAAGGAAATGATAGGATTCAATTCTTTCTTTCAACCGCTAAAAAAAATTCTTTGCTTCAAAGGTCTACATTGGAATTTTTTCCATTGGATTAAAATCCTCTAAATTTTCTATGTTTTCTACAAATGTAAAGGGGTCTTAGGCTTTTTTCTTGTGCTTTTGATTATGGATTTTTTCCCCACCACAAATTAAATTGAACTATTTAGTAAAAAAAATTACTATGTTGCAACTTTATCTAAAATCTAAATATTTAAAACAACTAAACTATATAGTACACTTTTATTAGAAAACTACAATGCTATGAGCGTTTGACATGTGGGCCCAAAGTGCAACAATTTGAGTATTATATATATGTACACGTGGACCCAGACCTACAAGATGAATAAGTTGCGATTAATAATAAAATCTTCAACTATTATTGCAGTTTCTCTGAAATGCCCAACTGATGTTACAGCAAACCTATAGTCTAGACGAGATAGTACTTCATAGTTACAACTCTCTAAAATTTACACTAAACTTGATTTTGGAAGCGGATTCTCAGATTCAAAATATGTTTTCTACTAAAATCCAGCAGCTAAATAGTTGCGTTTGTGGGTTTTGAATAATGATATAAATTGCATATTTCATATGTATCAAAATCTAAAATCACAATAATACAACAAAAACCTTATATAGAGGCACTTTTGTAGAGGCGTTTTATAAATTGCTTCTAAGATCAGAAGTTTTATAGAGTAGAGACACTTTATAGGGCCACTTTAAAAATTGACTAGAAAACTTTTACACTAGAGACATTTTCAGCTCAATTTATTAGATTTTATCTTGTAGAGGCATTCTTTCGGCATTGTAAAATGCGTCTGATATGTAAAGGCACTTTCTTCAGACATTTTAAACTATGTAAAGACACTTTTTAGAATGATAATGTGTATTAAAAGACTAAATATAAGTAACTAAAGGCATAAACATATAAGTAATGACATAGAGTTGAGTTGGTTAGTATATTGAAGATAAAAAAATGATTTGTCCAAGAGATCCTGATTTCAAGGCTTGACAAAAGCAAAGAAACTATTTTATTCTCCTTTTTTGGACTGGTTTCATATGTTTGTGGTACAATTTAATGTCTCTAGAAAATGCCTCTACCATCTTATAGACATTTTATAAAATGTCTCTTCGTTTGTAGAGATAATTCACCATAAGACACTTATGAGACATTTTTAAAAGGGTAATTAATGCCTCTACAATATTGTAAAGGCATTTGAAAAGTGTCTCTACAATACTAGAAAAATATCTTTACAAAGCATTTTTTTAGTGCAACCAGCTTTTCTAGGAGCAGGATTATGAGAATCGAAAGCAAAACAAAACAAGGTCTCTTTTTTTAAAAAAAGAAAAACGAGGCGTTTCTTTCATTACTTTAGCCTTTTCTTTAAACCGCTAAGAATAAAAAGAAAGATTTGGAGGGAGAGACGTCACTCCAAATATTTTTTTAAGAAGAACATAGGATCTTAGGGTTGAAACCACACACCCTTTATCACTGCACTATCAAATGTATCTAAGACCGCTAAGAATAAAATTATAGTAGTATTACTCTAAAATTATTTTTTGTTATGTATTTTATTTTCTACCATTTATAGCCATATATAGCCCATCAAAGAGGCACTTGGTGATTTTATTTGGTTTAGATCGAATCACATCGAACATTGATAATGAAATAGTACAGCCTAATAGGTGGTTGCCCATGATTTTTTTCTTGTGGCTTCAGTGGTGAATCTGAAGTCAGAACGATCTTTTGGATCGCACGGCTACATACGGCAGATAATTGATGTGCTATAGGGGAGATTGATATCAGAAAAAAAAAGTTCTTCTCAATACTTTTATTTTTTTAATAACAAATTTACTTAGCTAGTGGCATTTTCATAGATCTAGATCACATAGCCTTGGAAAATAACTTTGGTCAAAATAGGCATGCATATGGCCTGGTTGCACACATCTTAGATGTAATTGGTTCTGTAACTAGGGGGAAACATGCAGCAACCAATGCCATGTTTCCTCGCATGTTGCATCTGCATATAAAACCATGCAAAATTGGCAACATGGTGTACGTGAATTTCACCATCATTTCATCACCATCCTATCAGACGTGCGCACACACTGGTACAAATATTTGGTAACGCTGGGAAAATTGTACCTTAATTTAATAATTTTAATCTCTCGTGTGTTCAAAAGTTATATAAAGTCTCAAAAAAATTGACAACCTCCATACAATATACACATATCAATCCACAAAATATCGATTATAAACTGAACTCACATGTCAAGAAATAAAAAAAGATAAATCCATCATTGAACAATACTATTCAAACCTAGGTTTATCTTCTTTTTTTTTCTTTTCTCATTGTGTAAATCAAGATAATTTGAACCTGACTTTTGTGGAGTGATACATGTAATTTTTTCTAAATTTTTTCTTAACTATTTTCATTGAATTTGATTGAGAAAATATGTACGAGGGATATTCCCGTCGAGGAATTATAATTTATTCCTAGTAACTCAGCATAGCTAGCTAGCTACCTTGTTTTCTCAGTGAACCCTTGACCATTTCGTCAGTAGTTTGTCACACAGCTGAAGCAAGCGTTTCGTTTCCTTATAATTTATAGAAAACGAGATCATCTGAACCGTGTTTCTTCGCCGAGACACCGCCGCACATGCACAAATAGGATGGTGAAGGCGTCAGATATCAAACAGATCGATCGATCCCTCGCCGAAAAATCACGTCACTGCGTGTGGGAATTTTCGCCGTGTTGGCCTGGCACTTAGCCAATGTCCATGCTCGCGTGCGTATGCACGTAGACGTTAGCTTATTATATTGCAAGTGAGCACTTGCAAAATTTGTGTTGCAACAAATGGCAGAGTTGACCTGACATAGATGCGGCATTATCTTAGTTTTTAACGCACCTGTTTCTAGATGCAGGTTACATGCACTTTGTTAAAACGAAGACTAGCTATAGGAGAATTTTTATAAGAAAGGGTAGGAGTTTTTTAAGGGACAAGCTAGGATGGTTAGTAGAATGGCGAAGAATAAAGTAATAATCCTCGCAGAGGAAAAGAGTAAAGTATTAATTAAGATGCACACCATTTGCATCCCAAAGAATTAATGAGTTTGTCCCATATGAGATGAACAGGAGCACGATTAGCAAGAATGGGGGTGACTCACTTATTAATGAAGTCTTCTGGCTAAAATACTTGCTCTGCATAGCTCGGGACAGCGGTACAACGACTTTGGGTGTGTTGGTGAGAAGAGAAAAAGACAAATTGAAAAGATATACAAAATGAGATGAGCCATTAGCACATAATTAATCAAATATTAATTATCACACACTTGAAAAGTGGATTAATAAGAATCATTCCTATAGACCTATAGATTATTTTTTCAAACGCACTATTTAATAGTTTGTAAACAGTGCATGCAAAGCGAGAGACTTTCCAGCCCAATTGCCTTAGGCCCGTTTGAAACTGCAATTCAATTTAGCTTTTTGGTGATACATAAAACGATATAATTCATTGGCGTATAATTAATTAAGTAATAATTATTACAGATTTTAAAAATATTTTCAAGTAATTTTTAAAGAAACTTTTGTATAAAAAGATTTAGAAAAACACACGCGCGCGTATTTACGAAAAAACGAGGGTGTTGTAGTTTAGAGTTGAAGAAAATAATGTACGGCTGTGTTCACATGTCTCAGATGGAAACTTTTTCTCTCCGTACGGAAAATGGAGCAGTCCATTAGCACGTGATTAATTAAGTATTAGCTATTTTTTAAAAAAATGGATCAATTTGATTTTTTAAGCAACTTTCGTATAGAAACTTTTTGTAAAAAAAACATACTGTTTAGCAGTTTGAAAAACGTGCGCGCAGAAAATGAGAGAGAGAGTGGGTTGGGAACAAGAGGTTGCAAACACAGCCGTAGTTCTGCTCTGGGCCCTGTTTGGTTCCATGGGCTAATGTTTAGCCCTCACCTTTTAGCCTCAAATTAGCCCTCAAGAATCCAAACAGGTGGGCTAATTTTGAGCTAATGTGAATTAGCCCCCCTCAAAACATTAGCCCCTCCAAGAGGTGCTAATGAGGCTAATTTTGTGTGAGGACTATCAAAAAACAGCTCTCTCTCTCTCTCTCCTTCTCTCTCCTCTTTTTCTACTCTCTCTCCACCTTTTAGCCTTGAATTAGCCCATGGATTCAAACATACCACCCTAAGCTAATGTTTAGCCTACCAATTCATGACTAAACATTAGCTCTCAACATTAGTCCTAGGCTAATCTTCCAAACAAGGCCTTGGTTTAGCTAGCATTCCATTGACATTCCATCACATTTGATACGGAGGTTATGAAGGAAGAAATACCACTATACTAGTAGTAGTAGCATGCAGGACAGCAGGGTCATGATCGAAAGCGCAAGTTCATAACGAACCTGGATCTATGACCAAATCTAAACACTCGAACTTGGGGGGTTTTACTGTACTTGCCCGCGAGTGTGACCAGTACTGTACCATTAATTATTCTTCTCTTAATTGATTGGCAAATTTTCTGTACTTTACTTTTAAAGATTGGTATTTGCAATGTATTAACTCAACTGTCACCTACCATTCACCGTGATGTACAAGAGGAATAAGTGCCAAGTTGTAGCAAAAATTAACACTAGTATATACACTAGGTGATCTAGCTCTTAATATTAACTCCAAAGTCGAAATAATAATAAAGAGCATTGCCACAAGTACTTAATAGAAATTCTTGTCACAAAGAAACTTATCAACCGTTTGATGTAGTTTGTTGGGAGTCATAGAAAATCAAGACCCATTAGTAGTGTACGGTGTACGACATCATCGTTTGTAAACGTTTTGTAAGAAAAACAAATGTACATACAGCTTTCCTAACAAAAGAAACTCATGAACATAGGCTACTCTACAAAATATACACTATACCAGTGAAAGGGCATGTAGCCTAATAGTTGCAGTGACCTAAATAACACATTAAGGTCCTGAGTTCAAATCTACATAAGAGCGAATTTCAGATTGGATTATTTAAAAGCTAAGTTTCATGTTTGATAGGCTAGGTTTCTAAATTAAAATGGTTGCATATATCCGATTGAATATAGAGACTGGGTAAAAAATAATCTTCTCTTTAAAAAAAATACACTATGATTGAACATAGAGACTGGGTAAAAAATACCCTTCCCTTAAAAAAAATAATACGCTCTACCGAACTTCCGTGTGTGCATGTCCTTAAATCCAACGAACAAATGCATCGCGTCACATTCATTAGAAACCGTCCGATCAAAGATGAACGGCTCAAATTAACTTGAGTGCACCTTAAAAGTTTCCAGTAAAAGTAAAAAAAATATATTATGGACGAGTTCAGTGCCCAGTGTGACGTCCTGCAGCTCACAGTTTTGCACCCATTTTGTGATGTGTTCGTCTTAATGTTGACACCTGCGTGTGGCGATATGTACCAGGTCAGGTCTACCCACAGATTGCGATTGAACTTATAGTTTTCAAAAAAAAAAAAAAACTGCACTTATAAGCCCCTCGTCACCAAAGCAAATCATGGAGGTACACGTTACAGAACGAGTATGCAATGGGTTTTCAAACTCTGTGCTAGTCAATCATGCATGGCTATATTCTTCAACGGAAGCTACTTCAATTTCTTTTGTGAAGGTACAATATAATGGAAGCTGCTTTCTGGAATGCAGAACAGATGAATTTATAAATGTTTGTTTTAAGGGTGGAATTCAGAAATGCTGTTCCATCGATCCAAAGTTGAGAGAAACAAAATATCATCATTTTGTTTTTGTTACGGAATTACAGTAGTAGTATGATCAATATTCAGAGGGACAGATCTCACAAAAAAATTTCCAAAAAAAAAAAAGAATCCTACAAAAAAAATAATGTTTGTACACCGAAGAAGTGTATCATACCCGGATCTCAGTTCATCAGAGACATTCAGATCCGTAGGAATGTTGATTCACAAAAAAACAAAAGAGATTAAGATCTGTAGGAATGTTCATCTGATCAGAGCTGGATTAGTATATGCAGAAATGCAGAGAGTATATATAATAGAGCAGAAAGCCAGGACCCACAGTTTTGCCCATCTCGAAATCAGGTTTTGAGCTTAGCTGTGCGTGATTAATCATGGCCATTAACTACCAGTTGCAGATTGACCAGTTAAACCTCAGTTAAACAAATGATCATTTGCATTATCACCTTCTGAGTCTACTCACAACGAGGCAAAACCCTAATTAAACAAATGGATCAGAAGCTCTCAGAGCGAGGACGACACACGCCCTCACTCTCCTATATAAACGCCACTCACCCATCGCTTGCAAAACCACCTCGAGCTCAAACACAATTTATTACATTTCAAGCTTGTTTAAGCTCAAGTAGTGAAGAGAAAAACATCGACAGGATGAGGAGCTTCCATTTCGTCGTCGTCCTCGCGCTGGCGGTGGCGATCTCGTCGCCATTGGCGGTGGCGCAGCTGAAGCAGAACTACTACGCCAGCATCTGCCCGAACCTCGAGAACATCGTGCGCGGGTCCGTGCAGAGGTCGATGCAGCAGTCGCCGATCGCGGCGCCGGCGACGCTGAGGCTCTTCTTCCACGACTGCGCCGTCCGCGGGTGCGACGCGTCGGTCATGATCATCAACCCGAACGGCGACGACGAGTGGAGGAACCCCGACGACCAGACGCTGAAGCCGGAGGGGTTCACGACGGTGATAGCCGCCAAGGCCGCCGTCGACAGCGACCCCCAATGCCGGAACAGGGTGTCCTGCGCCGACATCTTGGCCCTCGCCACTAGAGACTCCGTCTTCCTGGTAACTCACACTCACTTATCTGTATCGAGTTGCATGCACCGACCAGTTTAACTCAAATGTTTTAGCTCATAAGAGAAAACTGGCAATTTAGTTTATATTCGAACACGCACGAATGGCCATTGATGGGTTGGCTGCATGATGCAGAGTGGAGGACCGGACTACGCGGTGGAGCTCGGCAGGTTCGACGGCAGGGTGTCGACCAGGAACAGCGTCAACCTGCCTCATGGCAACTTCAACCTCGACCAGCTCACCGGCTACTTCGGCAGCCTCGGCCTCAGCCCCACCGACATGGTCGCCCTCTCCGGTACGTTGCCATGGCAGCAGCTACGTGCACAGCAATGGCGGCGGCGGCGACGCGTGTGATGTGACAACGATGTCTTGTGGAATTTGTTTTTCAGGGGGTCACACCATCGGGGCGGCGTCCTGCAGCTTCTTCGGCTACAGGCTCGGCGGCGACCCGACCATGGACCCCAACTTCGCGGCGATGCTGCGCGGCAGCTGCGGCTCCAGCGGCTTCGCGTTCCTCGACGCCGCGACGCCGCTCCGGTTCGACAACGCCTTCTACCAGAACCTCCGCGCCGGCCGCGGCCTCCTCGGCTCCGACCAGACGCTCTACTCCGACCCGAGGTCCCGCGGCCTCGTCGACCGCTACGCCGCCAACCAGGGCGCCTTCTTCAACGACTTCGTCGCCGCCATGACCAAGCTCGGCAGGGTCGGCGTCAAGTCGCCGGCCACCGGCGGCGAGATCCGCCGCGACTGCAGGTTCCCCAACTGATGACATGGCACACGATGCGTTGCACACGTGCGACGTGACGTGATCTACCTCGAGGGGGATGCAGGCCTCTGCACTTGTGCAGGTTGCATGTTCTTGGAGGGCAATTGGGCGATAGATGGCAATCTTTCCTTTTGGATTTGGGGAAAAAACAATCGGTAGTACATTATTGTGTGTTCAAAAATTTAAGTTGTTTTTGTCAACGATCCGAATAAGTTGTAATATACAACGATGTAAAAGTGATTTGTTCGATTAATTTGTGTTTGACTTGACTTGACGTGCAGTTTGCCACGATTTCGTCGTTGCTGTTTTGTTTCCATATTTTTGAATTCGTTAGTCCTGACACACTGACACGTACTGGGAAGGAATTCGTTAGTTGAATTCGTTGCCTCACTCAACTCATGTACATGGTTGAATGGCAACCCTTAACGGTAAAACAGGTTATAATCCGTCCTCCAACTCTTAAAACCATTCCAAATCGACTCCTCGGGTGGTTACAGAGGTGGTTTTGTCTCACGTGGTATATTTGACCTTGTTGATTGGCTGAATCAGCTTGCAGGACCCCACATGTTAATGACAAAGATTAAAAAACGGTGGGCCCACTGTCACTGCCCACTGCCGTCGGACACGATCCCCACGCATTGCCTGCGCCGCCTTAACCGCATCGCCTTCGCCATGTTTCCCTCTTCCAATCCACCACCGATGTCGCCGGCTGATGCCCTCTCCTCCCCCAACGTCATCGCCACCGCCACCGCAGTCGAGGATGAGGCCGCGGTAGCAGCGGGCAGCGCCAAGACCTTAGCGGTGCCCCTCAGCAGCAAGAGTCCCCCCCCCCCGCCACCATGGCAACCCCAACCTAGGGATTGGCTTTGCCTCCTCCGATCACATGGTAGCACCGCCACCTCCTCCTTCACGCCGCGCCCTGCGTTTGCCCAAGCGGTGCCACGCAGGGGTCACCTCCTCGTCCCGCTCCTACCAGCCACCACCGGCGTCTCTCGTTGTGGCTCCGTGGAATCAGTTCAGCCACCTCCATCGCACGTGTCGCCCCCGCCATGCCGTGGGCCGTTACCGGCCATCCATTTGCGTTGCTGTGTAGACGAAGGTGCGGAAGGAGGAGGGAAAAGCGCGGTGGGAGGAACATACAAGTCATAAATCAGAATACAATACAAGATATGCATGATACTTCATCCGTCCCCTAATATAAGGGATTTTAACATTTTGCTTGCACTGTTTGACTATTCGTCTTATTCAGAAAATTTGTGCAAATATAAAAAACGAAAAGTTATGCTTAAAATACTTTGGGTAATCAAGTAAGTCACAAATAAAATAAATAATAATTTTAAATTATTTTAAATAAGACGAATGGTCAAACAGTGTAAGTAAAATGTTAAAATCTCTTGTATTAGAGGACGGAGGGAGTAACACATGAACTTACCAGTCAATCAACGTCTGCACTCTGCAGTCTGGACTTGCAAGTTGAAATAGTACTATCATATTGTACTACTGCTCATTGCCCAACTGATGAAAAAATTGCATAAATAAGTAACCGCTGATCTGACTTGCTTAACCGGTGCAAGCAGTCGTTCACCACCAAGAACTGGTTGTAATAGTAGCCGTCGTACTCCGCCTGCCGCTCGGATGTCCTGCTCCTGCACCGTGAGCCGCCCGGCACGGACCCACGGATCCAACACCGCCTTCACCTCCGGGTTGACGCCGCCGGCGTCATGGAAGACGAGACGTAGGGCTGGAGCTGCCACAATGCGACGAACAAATGTGAGGAAGGCGAGCGAGAGCACGAGAACGACTTGATGTTGACGCACGGGACTGACGAACACTCTGCCGCCCGCGTCTTTCATAGCTACTTATACCCTGCTGCGCGCCCGATCGACTCCCTTGCCGCCAGGCGCCGCCCAGCACGACCAGTGGCGGAGCCAGAAAATTTCCACGTCTAAGACTGAGCTAATGAGATCTCAAATATTTTCATAAATTATATAGCATTTTTTAAGATTATAATGGGTATTATGGAGCTAGGCATGGGGCCCAAGCCCTAGCTGCCCCATGCCTGATTCCGCCCCTGAGCACGACGAACCATGAGGCAAGGCAGATCGGCGGGCAGAGAAGGCAAGGTATATATCAAGACTCAAGAGGACGCGAAGGATGTGGATGGTGATGATGGGAGAGGCGGAAGGGGACGGGAGCGAAAGGGTGATAAGAGTATGAGACCGTTGGTGTTGCGCGTGAACTAAAACCCATTGTTTTCATTTTTATCCTCATCCCTGACATGTGGGCCCCATAAGCTGACTCAGAATCAAATATGTCATGTGGGACAAAACTACCTTCAAAACCGTTCAGGAGTCAATTTGCAACGGTTTTGAGAGTTGGGGGATGGGTTATACCCGGTTTTACGGTTGAAGGATGTGATTCAACCAAGGATGTGAATTGAGGGATAGAAATTGACTAATTACTACTGGAAATATAATACGAACTGGGCCTAGTGCGCCAGAATCTGGATTCGAGTTACGGGCTGTGGCCTATGATTCGGCAGCTTTGGAAGCCCATCGCATCTCATACTGTTGTTGCTGTTAGTTTCAGAAAAAGAAATGTGACTCCCATACAAAATGAAATTTTGAGCAAATTCAAAATTTCGAAAAAAATAAAAAATAATCATGGACGTAGTGCTTGATTTGCAGTGTACTATGGTGAATAAATTTATTGAAAAAGAGTAAGATAAATTCAAATTTGAGAGCAAAATTAAAAGTCAATTAGGAAATAGGAAAATGAAATAATGAAATGGGCCTAAGTTTGCACTGGTCATGCGGCCCTTTAAGGCCCATGTGGAGAAAATATCTCCTGGTATTCTCATCTCTCTAATTTTCTGTTATTATCCCTAAACTCTACACACATTTAAGTATTTCTCCAATTTAATTTTTACATTTTTTTTCATTTTGTTCTTCTTTCGGCCAAACATCTCGCGGTTACCACGCAAATACTACAGTAATCGCCTCAAACCGCGCGGTAACCGTACCAAAACTATAATACCGCAGTTTTTTTTGAATTCAAATTTTTGAAACCGAAATTTACAATGTTTTTCACGGTTATTGCGCGGTTACCGCGGGGGGTCGGTAACCACCCCAAAAAAAGGGTAAGGGGAACCGTGGTACCACATCACCGTTTGTAAATGTTTTGAAAGAAAAAAAAAGTATATATAGCTTTCCTAATCCTAACAAAAGAAACTCATGAACATAGGCCACTCTACAAAATACACTCTACCGAACTTCCGTGTGTGCATGTCCTTAAATCCAACGAACAAGTACATCGCATCACATTCATTAAAACCGTCCGATCAAAGATGAGCGGCTCAAATTAATTTGAGTACACCTAAAAAGTTTCCAGTAAAAGTAAAAAAAAAATACATCAGAGAAAAAAAATATGCTTCCTTTTGTTGCTCGAGGCATAGCATAGTACTGTATATTTGTACACATTTTGTATGGGAGTCACATTTCTTTTTCTGAAACTAACAGCAACAACAGTATGAGATGGGCTTCCAAAGCTGCCGAATAAATAGGCCACAGCCCGTAACTCGAATCCGATTTCTGGCCCACTAGGCCCAGTTCGTATTATATTTCCAGTACGTGTCAGTGTGTCAGGACTAACGAATTGAAAAGATGGAAACAAAACAGCGACGACGAAATCGATCGTGGCAAACTGCACGCCAAGTCAAGTCAAACACAAATTAATCAAACAAATCACTTTTACATCGTTGTATATTACAACTTATTCGGATCGTTGACAAAAACAACTTAAATTTTGAACACACAATAATGTACGACTACTACCGTTTCTTTTTTTTCCAAATCCAAAAGGAAAGATTGCCATCCATCGCCCAATTGCCCTCCAAGAACATGCACCCTGCACAAGTGCAGAGGCCTGCATCCCCCTCGAGGTAGATCTCGCACGTGTGCAACGCATCGTGTGCCATGTCATCAGTTGGGGAACCTGCAGTCGCGGCGGATCTCGCCGCCGGTGGCCGGCGACTTGACGCCGACCCTGCCGAGCTTGGTCATGGCGGCGACGAAGTCGTTGAAGAAGGCGCCCTGGTTGGCGGCGTAGCGGTCGACGAGGCCGCGGGACCTCGGGTCGGAGTAGAGCGTCTGGTCGGAGCCGAGGAGGCCGCGGCCGGCGCGGAGGTTCTGGTAGAAGGCGTTGTCGAACCGGAGCGGCGTCGCGGCGTCGAGGAACGCGAAGCCGCTGGAGCCGCAGCTGCCGCGCAGCATCGCCGCGAAGTTGGGGTCCATGGTCGGGTCGCCGCCGAGCCTGTAGCCGAAGAAGTTGCACGACGCCGCCCCGATGGTGTGACCCCCTGAAAAACAAATTCGACAAGACATCGTTGTCACATCACACGCGTCGCCGCCGCCGCCATTGCTGTGCATGTAGCTGCTGCCATGGCAACGTACCGGAGAGGGCGACCATGTCGGTGGGGCTGAGGCCGAGGCTGCCGAAGTAGCCGGTGAGCTGGTCGAGGTTGAAGTTGCCATGAGGCAGGTTGACGCTGTTCCTGGTCGACACCCTGCCGTCGAACCTGCCGAGCTCCACCGCGTAGTTCGGCCCTCCACTCTGCATCATGCAGCCAAGCCATCAATGGCCATTCTTTTTTCACGAACGCGCAAAAAGATTGCACGTCAATATATTGGAAGGAGAAGAGTTTTTTTTCTACACAACGTAATTGGTCAGACAGACCTATGTTAAAAGAAGAAAGAAAAAGCAAAACAAAAACTGTAGCTAGGAAAAAGAAAAACTACTGTGGCAGCTAAACGGAACTCCAATCAGCGGAAAGGAGGGCAGAGCCACACTACACTACCAACAAACCCCTCAAAATAGCAACATCAGCGGAAGACCACATACGGCCCTCCGAGAGAATGAATTCCAGAACCATTTGTGCGTGTTGGAATATAAAGTGAATTATTCGTTTTTTCTCATCAACTTAGGCTTTTAGATTGTAACTCGATACCGCGCAAAAATGGGCCGGTAAGGTAGGGTAGATACAGGCAAGTGAGTGTGAGTTACCAGGAAGATGGAGTCTCTGGTGGCGAGGGCCAAGATGTCGGCGCAGGACACCCTGTTCCGGCACTGGGGGTCGCTGTCGACGGCGGCCTTGGCGGCTATCACCGTCGTGAACCCCTCCGGCTTCAGCGTCTGGTCGTCGGGGTTCCTCCACTCGTCGTCGCCGTTCGGGTTGATGATCATGATCGACGCGTCGCACCCGCGGACGGCGCAGTCGTGGAAGAAGAGCCTCAGCG